CAACTTTTATTTGTCGCCGTCATCTTGTCCATTCTCCGTCGTCACCGCGACCGCTGCCGTCGTGGCCAGCGCTCATCGCAATCGGTCAGCGTCAACGAAGTGTTGTTGTGGCGCCGCGTGCATATTGTGGCCGTTGTATCGGCTTGCATATTAGCCAGTACAGATGCGGTCGTAGGTTCGTATGTGGCCGTGTTCTTACCACTCGGCTGCCTTACTATGCTTACCATCCGCATTCTTTACTTCTGGAACATCTTGCTGTTCTTTCTTCTTCGCGTCGTCAATTATCTTCTTTGCTACTTCCTTTATTTCGTCCGCTGCTTTCTGCACTTTCTCAATTATCTTGGTGACTTCTGCTGTCATCTTCTCCTGTGCTTCCTTTATCTTCTCCTTCCCTTGGTCGCTGACACTGTCTTTGATAGGCTGCCCTGGTGTTGCCACCGGCTTAATATAATCCTTCCAATACGTCTCACAGGGCATTGCCTTTTCCATTTGTGCTATTTCAGAACTTATTTTTCCTTCCTTCAGTAACCATTGTGCTATCGCCAAATTTATTGCATTTATATTCCTCTTATGTTCCCCGTACCCACATTCCGTGCATACCGAATTTATAACAGGACCCTCCATTTTTCCAGCTCCGTCTGTTCCCTCGCTCTTCATATTCCTGAATGTTTCCCAAGCATACTCTGTACCTCTCTTGTAGCCTCCCTTATCCTTACAATACATTTTTTTCAGTAAGTGCCCAAATACATTTGCCACCTCGCAGCGTAACCTGTTGACCGCTTCATCGGTGCCCCCTTTGTTTGCAAACCACAATGCTCCTGACATTAGCCTGCATCGCATCATATCCGCTACTCTTTGTTCCTTATATAGGTTACCATCACCGAAATCACTCCAACCTGCATTATTACAGTTGGCGCCGAATCCGTCAAAGTGCTGATTATGTTCCTCCAAGTACTCCATAAACTCCTCCAACACGTCCTTCACCTTGTTCCATTGCTCATCCTACATTTTGTACGCGAACAAGGAGAACATTACCCATCTGCCCACTCCACGAACACGCTGCGCGCCTGAGTTCATGCACGCCCTGACATATATGCATGTAACTGTATAAATAAAATGGTCGTTCCTCTTCTATTTGCCCTATGCATGTTTCTGCGCATTTCGCCACACCTGCTGTTTGAACTTACATCATCAGGGAGCACCACGTATATTTCCCGAGGCTTCCAGTCCAATATTTTCGTCCCCAGACATTGCTCCCAGGCGTTCTGCCCCTTCCCCGTACCTCCGACATCACCCTTACCAGCCTGACCACCACCACCACCAGATGTCGTCGTCGTCCCCGATCCCGGTGTCACCGTTGCCGGTGTCACCGCGGGTCCCGGTTTCGCCGCTACTGGTTTGGCCGGGGCGGGCGCGACCGGTGAAGCAGGTTTGGCCGAAGATCCCCCGGGTGATCCCGATTTCCCCGCTCCCCCTGTTCCCGGATCGGTCGTCGTTGCTCGGAATTCTGGAGTGTCTCGGGGCGAAGCCCCGGTCTTCTCTCGCTTTTCTTTCTCCATTTCCTGCTGTATTACTCCTTTCACACATTTTATATCGGTGCATGCTTTCACTGCATTTAATATTTTCGTTATATTCTCTTTCATATTCTGCCCAACCTGCTGCATTTCATCTTCCACTGTCTTTTTGAACTTATCCAGTTCTTTCTGCTTGTCCGCTTCCGCCTGTCCGCTTATGTTTACCTTACACTCCCTCCCCAATACTCCCACGTCCCCATCCCTTAACCGCGTTTTATGGCGCTGAAACCACCTTTCCATTATATACAGCAATGTCCAATCTTCCGCCCTCTTGCTCCTGTCACCCGACTGTAAATCCTTGCCCTCACATGTAGAATTACGTTCCGCTGTGCCCGTCGTACCCACGAATGCCTGTGCAGCGTCGAATGCTCGTGTGCCGCCAGGTTGCTGTAGACAAGTCTGGCCTATTATTCTCTTCATGAATATATTTGTCAGTATACATTTCATATATGGCATTATGCCATCTGCCCCAGTGTTCACAGTCTCGGGGTTCTCACCGGACGCACCCAATTTAATTCCATGTTTAAAGGATAATGCTTTAAGTGTTAAGTGACATATAGCTATATTCTTCGCATCCAACCTCTGCCCTTGCTCCGCGTCATCGTCGTCTGCCCCGCACAATTGCTGTATCATGGAATCATCATTCTCGCGTTGCATATAATCCTGAAAGGTCCCCCATACTTCCCCTATGCTATTCCAAAAACGTTCCTATAAGTATAGTATGTGTTCCATGGGTCCCTTATAAACAATACTCCTTTGCGCCCGCTGTATATTATTATATACATAATTAAGCACGCTGCACCCATATGTATTTCCTGCCTTATAAAATATATAAGGGGCAAATAATCACAGGGTACGCACCCCGTCTCCAGGGCAGTGCCTAGCACTATGCTAACATATCTGTATAACACCACTGCAGTGTGCTCTCATGGTCTCAGACGCACGGACCTACCTTAAATACATCGTCATCGGGCTTCACCCCTATATCCGTTGTCGCTATATAATCCTCCCATAGTACTATTAAATACTTCCACATGGGTCCCTCACTTTTTTCCGTGTTATATAAGATGCAACTCTCCGTGATATCTATTCAAAGTCCACAATAACTGAAATGTATTCTGCGGAAACATATTCCTCTAATAGAAACTTATACTCCTGCATACTCAAAATAGTTGTCCACCACTAAAATCCTGAACCCAAATACCCCCTCAACAATAGTACTCGTAGGAACAGGACACGTAATGTCATCACCCATTAACAAAAAATACCCGCCTTAACCACAGCACCGCCTTAACAACAAAAACCCCCCTTAACAACAAATACCACTTGCAAAACAAGTACCCCCACGTAACAACAAATACCCCCCCGTAACAACAAATACCCCCCTTAACAACAAATACCCTCTTCACACTGTCTCTGCGTACACCTAAAACGAACAACAACATCAATTTCTTCTTCCGTCGTTTGCGCCGTGCTTCTTACTCCGCTACTTCGTCGAATCGTGGTTACAATCGGCCGCGTTGGTCGACGCGTCTGCTCGCAGAGACAATCCTCCTGCTTCCTACACGCTGCTACTGCGCAGAACCCCTTCTTACAGTCGACGACAATGCGGTGTACGCGGCCGCGTCTGCTCGGAGAGACAATCTCTCCCTCCTTTCTTACACGCGGCTACCTCGTCGACAAGCCCGTGTTCCCGTCCGCGTTTGCTCGGAGAGACAATTCTCCGCCTCATGCGTACACGCGGCCACGTCGGCGAACTGCGTCACTCGGACAATCGCGTTTACACGGCCGCTTTAATCGGAGAGACAATCTGCTCCTCCTTCTTACATTCGGACAATCCTCCGTCGAATCCGTTCACGCGGAGACAATCCGCCGCCGTCGTGCACTCGGCTACGTCATCGAACCGCGTGTGCTCGGAGAGACAATCTCTCCCTCCTTCTTGCACTCGACGACAATGCTTTACGCGGCTACTTCGTCGAATCGTTGTTACAATCGGCTGCGTTTGCTCGGAGAGACAATGTCTCCCGCCGTTGTTACACTCGACTACTTCGTCGAAGCCTTCTTACACTGGGCCGCGTTGTTCGACGCGTTTGCGCGGAGAGACAAGCGCTCCGTATACGCGAATGCGTAGTCGCATGCTATATTTGTTCTGCACTATGCCCTTAGAATGCACGTGCTCAGCTTTTAATAATTAACTGCACATAAAGGAGAATACTACCCCTTCATATTATTCATGTAAATCTACATTTTATATGCATTTAACCGGTACCCACCCTGTCCCCATGGTCATGTTAAAAGAAGTGGACTACACAGAAAAAGAACAAAACAAGGCAAAAGTAAGCACAAGTAAGCAGAACAGAGCAGAAGAGAGCAGAAAAAAAAAAAGAACGTATGGAATAGTGCAAACACGAAATATATTATGTATATCACAGAATGAAGTAAAAGTGGTCTAACGTTAGCATGCGTTATGTCGCATGCATATGCAACGTCATCCTAATGTCGCATATTCTGTAATAAAGCATCCACATATAACTCCGTCTCTTGCATACTATTCTCGAGCTCGCACTGTTCTATGACTAATGCCAGGATCAGTATCCATGTTGTAGCGGTTACCGGTTTTGTCATGTAAGGTTGCGGATGCAGTGGTTGCGACAGCGATAAATTTCTCACTTGTAGCAAGTCTGCTGCTGGCATTACATGTTCCACTACAGGTACTTCGCCGTTTTGCGATGCTGTCTCCTCCTCGATATGTTGTAACAAACGTTGAAACCACTCCTCCTCACCATATATATTCATAAGCGCATGTTGCTTTGCAACCCATGCTTTCCATGCATCCAGTTTCTTCATCGGCGGGGTGGGTGCCTCACCGAATGCACGTTGTCCGTTGTCCGCGTCTGCCGCCATGTGCTCACGCACGTATTTTTTCCAATCTGCTGTTAATTGCAAAAACCACGGCTGCGTCGTGCACGCGCGCAATATGCGTTTGTTGCGGTCAATCCAGTTAATCCAAGGGATGCAGTCCAACGTCGCGTCACCGTGGTCGCAATGAGTACGACTCTGTTCTGCATCTAAGTCGATATGTTCCATACAAGTCCATCGGTCCTCTGCGTTACGTGGAGCAGCGTCCGTTGCTAACTGTATGTTTTTCATACAACTCCATGGATCGGGGTCCTCTGCGTTAGGTTGACAAGGGTCCGTTTCTAACTGTATCTTTTCCATACAACTCCATGTATCGGGGTGGCCTGCGTTCGGTGGGCAAGGGTCCGGTTGTAATTGTATAGTTTCCATACAACTCCATGGATCGGGGTCGTGTTCATTCGGTGCACAAGGGTCCGTTTCTAACTCTATGGTTTCCATACAATTCCATGGATCGGGGTTATCGGCGTTACGTGGACATTGATATGGTGAGGAGGCAATGGGTTCATCCGGGGTTATCGAAGTGTCGGTTATTGAATCGTCGTGTGTGGTACAGACATGCGAACTACTTGTACCCGTGGTGTTGCCCCCCATAAACGGGTGCACAAGTATCTGGCAATAGTCGTCTTTGACGTTTTCCCATGCCGCCACTTCACATTCGTTGAGCACTTCTAGATGTAGCTCGATAATCGTGCGCTTATGCACGCGTGGGGCGCGTCGTCGTCGGTCGGCAAATTTATCGCGGCGTCGTTCCCTAACCATGGTGTACCCGTAATCGGGTGGCGGCAGTTCGCCGCGTTGTAGATGGTCCAATATGTCTTCGTCGAGTGGCGGTGACGGCACGTCACGAACGGTTCGATATGTTCGTCGTCGTCTTTGTCCGAGGTACGCAAAATACTAAGCACAAAAAGGGGGGTAAAGAGGAGGATGGGCACGGTAGGATAAAAGGAATGAACGCGGGTTTAGGAGTATATGGGTTAGAACGATCATATATTGGTGCCCGTAGGGATGGTCTGAGGTATAAACATCCTGCACATGCGGCATGCCCTCATTGTCGTATATACTTACCTTCCAGAGGAAGAACGCAATGATTCCAATACCAACAACCGCGGGAATGATCGCGGGGGTGTAGGGCTTGACGTCTTCCCGTGTGATGCCGGGCGGAACGGAAGGGTTGATGGCGGTATCCGCGGGTAAATTCTCTGGCGATGGTGGCTTTATTTCACTATTCTCATTACGCGTTAGTCCCGTTGAGCCAGTGCCGGAGGAACCTGGATTCACAGTGTCCGCGGATCCGGGTGTGGAGGAACCAGGGGGTTGGGCCCCATTAGAACCAGGTCCGGAGGATGAGGAACTTCCACTTCCTCCCCCTCCACCACCACTACTACCTCCTCCACCACCACCAACTGCACCACCAGAGCCACCATCCGGGGAAGTACCAGCAGCAGTCGGACTGCCGGCGGCGCCGCTGCTGGTTGCGCCCGCCTGATTGGGATGCTGGGATGGCGTTGTTGGTTTTGGTTTGGGTGGATTGAGAGGAGGGGGGTCATCGTTACCGCCATCTACAACCGGTGTACTTGTTTCACCCCGTTCACCTGCCTCACCAGATCGACCTGGTACACCTGGTGTACCCGCGTTTCCGTCATCTCCCTTTGTTGTGGGTATGCTGGATGGTTCCGGCGGTGAATCCTGCTGACCGTTACCTGTCGTGATCTGTGTAGTTCCAGTACCTGTGAGTTTGAACGAAAAGGAAGAATATGGAAATAACTCAAGTGGTGTGCGTTGATTGGTTGGCTACAAGGTGGGCTACACGGTCGGCACCATGGTCCATCGCTCATGGTTGGCCACATGGTGCCACGGTGGTTACGGTGCACCCGGGAAAAGACTGTCTCTCTCTGCCACACACAACACAAACAACACACACACAGTGTGTGTGTCTGTCTACGTCGACGTGTACATCCCGCGGCCGACCCATCGCTCTGCGGCGTTCATTCTCATTCGACGTGTGGTGTCTCTCTCTCCGTGGTGTCTGTCCCGCTGTGTGCGGAAATTGTGTGTTTTTTTTTTTTTTTTTTTTTTTTTTTTTTTCCTTCTTCTAATGTTATTTCGGGTGTGTATTTGCACTATGGTCCATAGGACTTGTTACCTGGTGTTGGACCTGGGGGATCTGGAGGTACACTGTCTGGAAGTCCTAACTCCTTGTCTGAGGTACACCCAAGGCTTATGCTAACGCCGGATCCCTGTGTATTCGTACTGGTAGAACCCTCTGTACACGTATTACCTGTTGGTGGTCGGGGTGGTGGAGGTGGGGGTTGTTGTCCAGGTCCAGGTCCCTGACCTGGGCCGTCCCCTGTGACCGGTCGTGCCGCAGGTGGGGGTTGTGGTACGTGTGCTGATGCTGGGTCGCGCGTTTCCCCAGCTGCTTGATCTGATCGACCTGGTGATCCTGCCGGTGCTGCCGGTGCCGCTGGGGTGTCTTCCGTCTTCTCCGGTGGTGGGGATTTCGGTGGAGCTGTCGTGTTTTGCGCGTCCTTCGCTGCAAATAAAGCAAGGACGTAAAACGACAAAATGATACAAAAAAGGACACAAGTGGTAGACAGAAAGAAGGGGGCGGGACGGTTCGGTCAGGTAGCGGCAGCAAGCGGACGGTGTTAGAAGAAGAAGAAAGAAAATAAAAAGAAAGGAAGGAAATGTTCGGTGTGGTGTGGTACGGTCGGGTCGACTCGGTGGACTGCGCACGCGGTGAACTGGGTCGTGCTGGATGCTAGCAGTACAACTTTTATTTGTTGTTGTCGTCATCTCGGTCGCTGCCGTCGCTACCTCTATCGCTATCGCTATACACTCGTCGCCGCACACAGACCTGGTCTACACAGTGGCCAACGGTGCGAACGGTATGCTCGTCGCTACCGGCGTGGCCGCTGCGTGCGTGGTGTTGTGTTGCGCCATTCGTTTGTGGCGGCATGCATGCGGTACGCAGTCGTGTGGGCCGCTGATGCTTATGGAGCCGTATGTGCGTATCCTTACCGTCCTCAGGTGCCTTCTTTGCTTTCTCAATTATCTTCGTTGCTGCGTCCTTTATATGTTCCTCTGCTGTCTGCACTTTCTCAATTATCTTTTTCACTGTTCCTGTCATCTTCGCGTGTGCGTCCGTTATCTTCGCCTTTCCTGCTTCGCTCACACTTTCTTTGATAGTCTGCCCTGGTGTGGCCCCCTCCTTAAGATACTCTTGCCAATTTTTATTACATGGCATGGCATCTTGCATTTGTGCTATTTCAGCACTTATGTGTCCTTCTCCCATTAACCACTGTGCTATCGCCAAATTTATTGCTGTTATATGCCTCTTGTCCTTTCCATACCCGCATGCTGTACACTTGCCGTCTATAACAGGACCCCGCAATGTACCATGTCCACTTTGGCCTGAATCGTGCATGCTTCTGAATGTTTCCCATGCATACTCTACACCTCTCTTGTATCCTCCGTGGTTCTTGCAGTACATAGTTTTGAGTAAGTGGCCGAAGACATGAGCCACCTCACACCTTAGTTTGTCGTACATTTCCGTATCTGTTGCACTGTTGTTGTCCCATTCTGCCTTATTGATCCCGAAGCCGTTGGCAAACCACAACGCACCGGACATGATCCTGCACCGCATGACGTCTGCCACCGTTTGCCCCGTATGGTGTGCACCTGGAGTGAAATCATTCCAACCTGTATTTTCACAATTGGCAGCGTACGCGTCAAACTTATCATTATGTTGCTCCAAGTACTCCATAAACTCCTCCAACACCTTCTTCACCGGTTCCCATTCAGCATCCTGCATTTTGCACATGCAAATAAAAGAATATCCATGTGCACATTCCACGTGCACCATGGCCCGTGGTAGCATCTATACCTACACATATTCATGTAACCTTATCAATAAATTATCCTTTCCTTTTATTCCTCTGTCGTTCCCTTTGGTCCTGTTCCTTTCGGACTGTACTCAAACTTACACTATATGGAAGCACCACATATTTTTCCGAAGGCCTCCACTCCAATATTGTGTCCCCTGGACACTTGTACTGTGTGTCGTCCGTGTCGCCTGCGGCAGCACCACCGCCACCACCACCAGCACCACCACCAGATGATGTCGTCGTCATGTCACTGCCCGATGACGGTGTTGCCGCCGGTTTCGACTTCGCTACTGGTGTGGCAGCTGTCGCCGGCTTGACCGGTTTTTCGACCGGCTTGGCTGGTGCTGGTTTGGCTGCTGGTGGTTTGTGGGAAGATCCCTGTCCTGGTTTACCTAAGAAAAGGGAAGGGGTGGATATTTGTTCAAAGAAATCGAGATGCATGAACACACAAGAAGAAAGGGGTGAGTGGGAGGGCGCCCACGGCATCGGTATTGGCATCGCAGGGAAGGGGCGACGAGTGGTCGCCAGCCAAGGACGAGCTGTCGTTGTTTTTATAAGCGTTCAAATACTCTTCTGTTTCCGGATCATTCGTCACGAACGTTCGCACGTGGTTACTCTGGTTGCCGTCCCATGGGCCGGCCCCATGCTCTGTTATTTTCCTTCGTTCTCTGACAAACTCCGGTGCTACAAACTCTCTACCATCTACTTCCCTGTACTTTGTTATTTTCATGTCCTTACCTACTGTTTCCGGTGTACTTCTATTGACACCTGTATCCTGTTCTGTCCCCTCAGGCTTCACTTTTTGTACACACTCATACGCCGTGCCTTGTCGTCCTACTCTGCCGAACTCTCTTCCATGCGACTCCAGCAATTTCTTAATTCTCGCCTTTGCTTGTTCATTCCACCCTGCCCCATATCCAGACATATCCTTCTTACATTTCCCATCCTGAATTACATTTTCCATGTGGGGTATCTGCATGTTCCGCATTACATGCCACGCGTACTGTATTCCCAAATTTTCAGGACAGAATAATTTTTCCAGTTGGTACATAAATATATTGGCTAATGCACACCTTACAAATTCTTCTATTTCCCTCTGGGCGTCATCAGTCCTTTGTATACTGCGCGCTCCCATATTCCATCCATTCACAAAAAGTAGTGCACCCGTCATTGAGGTGCATGCAGCCGTTTCCTCCTTAGTTATCGTCATATGTGGGCTCCGTTGTCCATTTGTATGTGTTGTCAAATAATCCGGATCATAACTGTTACAGTTTTCAGCATACACCTCAATCCAGCTGCTGTCCAGCATATGGTCCATGAATTGTTTGAAATTTCTCTGTATACTACTCCGTAGTTTCCCCTACAGTGAACATATGTTACATATAATTATGCCGACCCTGCCTCCTCATATTCTTATATTTTACTGGAGCATTCATACATGCTCACTGTAGGTGCATGTTTCCATGTTCCCAGATAACAGTAGCGTTTCAGCACTCACAAGTATATATATATTGTACGTACACAGTTCTCAGTAGTGTACAGTAGTATGCGTTCACTCCCCATTTATGTTGTGTCCCAACTACCTATTCTTTTGTTCTTACTATTTGTGGTGCCCCTGGGTTTATTGCTGTTAATTTCTCCTTGTCCTTATACAACAATAATATTTCCCTCAGTAACCCCGAATCCATGTTTGCCCCTTTCTCACGTACTGCATAACTTAACCCTTTCTACATACCGTTTTCTACATCTCCTTCTTCCTCATCCAACCGTCCGCACCCTTTTGGCGTTTCGCACTGCTTAATCTGCTCTACACAGAGCTAGAGGAACGGGAAGAGCGACAGGGTACCCCTTCTAACAGAACATATGCATCATCCGTAAATTCATGCTACACGTTGCGCACCTTGCCCTTCTCTTCCGTGGTCTTCCCACATTCTTCGCGTTTGTGATACTCCCCTAACGTGCATTCGATACAATAAGGTCGTGGTCGTCATATGCAATTGTTCTACAACATCGGGATCGTCCTACAAGCGTACATATTATGCAGCTTGTGTATGTTAAGCGATGTTGTAGAATGTAGCGCGAGCAGCAGGAGCAGCAGTATCAGCAGATACAGGAAGAAGAACAAGAGCAACAGTGCACAGGAAAAACTACAGGTGACCGGTCCCTGCTGGTTCTTACACTGGGACAATCCTTCGTCGAATCCGTCCTGCACTCGGAGAGACAATCTCGCCCTCCTTTCTTACAGTCGGCTACTGCGCAGAACCCGGTCTTACACTCGTCGACAATCCGGTTTACCCGGCCGCGTTTGCGCGGAGAGACAAGCGCTCCGTATACTCGAATGCGTATTCGCATTCTATATTTGTTCTGCACTATACCCGTAGAATGCACTTGCTCAGCTTTTAATAATTAACTTCACATAAAGGAGAATTCTACCCCTTCATATTAGTCATGTAAATCTACATTGTATATGCAGTTAACCTCTACAACCGGAAGCGTATGGTCATGTTAAAAGAAGTGGACTACACAGAAAAAGAACAAAACAAGGCAAAAGTACGCACAAACAAACAGAAGTAAGCAGAAGAGAGGACAAAAAAAAACAAGAAGGTATGGAATAGTGCAAACAAGCAATATATTATGTATATCACATAATGAAGTACAAGTGGTGTACGGGCAGCATGCGTTATTGCCCATTCATATGCGCCGTCAGCCGAATGTCAGAGCTGTTGCAATAGATCATCCAAATATAACTCCCTATCCTGCATACTTCTCTCGAGCTCGCATTCTTCGATTACGAACGCGAGGATGAGCATCCACAGTTTGTGAGCGGTTAAGTTCTCCGTATGTCGCAATTCCGGATGGTGGGCGTGCTGCTGTTCTGGATCTTTTACCTTCGTCAACGGTATATTTGCAGGGGCCCGCTTTTCTGCTTCTGCGTGGGTTGCTCCTTCCTGTGCTGTAGGGATGTTGTTTACGTGAAAAGTTTGTTCCCTCTGGGATCCCGTCTCTTCTGTGTTCTCCTCCTGTACACTATTCAACAAATGTTGAAACCACTCCTCTTCACTGTATGTATCCGTGCGTTTATGCTGTCTTGCAACCCATGGTTTCCACAACCGCAGTTTCTTCCTCTCCAGGGTTGCCGCTTCACCGAAGGCACGCTGCCCGTTGTCTTCGTTTGCCGCCATGTGTGCACGCAGGCATTGTTTCCATTCCAATTTCAATTGCAAAAACCACGGCTGCGTCGTGCACGCCCGCAATAGGTGCTTGTTGCGGTCAATGCAGTTAATCCAATTAGTGTGGTCGGGGGTCGCGCATTCATGCCGCGGGGAGGAGTGCGGGTGGGGTTCTGTATCTAACTGTATGGTTTCCATACAATTCCATCGGTCATCTTCGTTAGGTGGACAAGGGTCGGTTGCTAACTGTACGGTTTCCATACAACTCCATGGATCGGGGTCCTCTTCATTCGGTGGACAACGGTCCCTTTGTAACTGTATGGTTTCCATACAACACCATGGATCGGAGTCATCTTCATTAGGTGGACATGAATCTGTTGCGTCCGAGTCAGTGGATGGAACATTGTGCCCTGATAAACCCACGTTTGTGGTAGGAGCATCCAAGGAACTACTATGCCCATTGCCGTCCCCCATAAACTCTTCAACGAGTATATGCAAATAGTCGTCTTTGACATTTTCCCAGTCGGCCGCTTCACATTCGTTGAGCACTTCTAGGTGTAGCTCGATGATCGTGCGCTTATGCACGCGTGGATGGCGTCGTCGTCGGGCGCGTGTTGACGCAGGTTGCCTATCCCTAATCAAGGTGTAGCCGTAATCGGGTGGCGGCCCGCCGCGTTGTAGATGCTGCAATATGTCTTCGTCGACAGGCGGTGACGGCACGTCACGAACGGTTCGATATGTTCGTCGTCGTTGTTTTCCGAGGTGCGCAAAGTACTACAAAAAAAAAGAACAAGAACGATGTAGGCGTGGATTTGTGTTAGAATGATTTTAAGTGCCCGCTTAGAAACACATTTTTCTATGGTACATGTTGCGGATACGCATATGCGGTGTCCACTCGGTTATATTTGTGCGGGCTTGTGCGTTGTGCGTTTGTGAGTGCGCGCTTACTTTCCAAAGGGAATAACCAAGCAGAGCGAGGATGACCGAAGTGACGAAGACGAGGATAGGGGTTGTGGCGGTAAGGACCGTGCCGGTTAGGTCAGGGACATCAGGGCTAGGGGACGTGGGTGTGTTGTGTGGCGTATGTGGATCCTGTGGGGTACCTGGTCCATATGATCCTCCTACATTGCTTTTTCCTTCGGGCAGTTCTATGCCCAGTTCGAGGCCGCCAGTGCCACTTACGCCCGCGGCTCCACCTCGTTCAGCTTGCGCACTTGGTCCTGTAGGAGCACCTGCAGCACCAGTTCTAGTGCTGGCTGCACGTCGGCCCCCACCGATTATTGCATGACACTGTTCACTGTCGTCGTCTTTCTTTTTCCCATCGACCTTGCAGAAATCGGCACTACCGAAAGGATCCGTATTAGTATCACCATTCGCTGCGGACACAATATGGGTGCCCGTCGTGGCGCGATCGTCATCGTCCGGTTTAGGTGCCTTCGTATCTGGCGCCACCGGAGAAGTGTGCGCAGTAGCAGGGTCTCCCGTTGCACCAGCACCAGATGTGCCCGTAGTGGCTCCTGTTCCTGCTGTCTCTGTTCCTTTTGATGGTGTTGTTGGTTGTTCTGCTGCTGGGTTTGCTGGTGGTGCTGGTCCCGGTGCGGGTGCTGCTGTTGATACTGATGGATCCGGACTTCCGGGACCGGGGGGACTATCAGGTCCTGTATGTAAATATGAAAAGGAAAAAGAACATGTGATGAAACTGAATTTATGTCCCGGATGTTTCACCACGGTCGGTTGGGCACATAGTCCATCGCTGATGGTTTGGCCATGCTCGCTTGACCACACGGTTCACCATCGCTCATCGTTGGCCATGGTGCGCACGGTGGTTGGCAGGTGCCAGCCCGGGACAAGACTCTCTCTCTCCCACAACACAAACAACACACAACACAGTGTGTGTGTCGGTCTGTCGACGTCTACGTCAACCGGTCGACGTGGACGTCTACATCCCGCGACCGACTCATCGCTCTCCCCCGCTTTATTCTCATTCGACGTTTGGTTTCTCGCTCTCCGTGTTATCTCTCCGTCTGGCCGGAACTGGTTGTTTCGTTTTTTCTCGTTGTTGTTGTTGTGGATATTCACTCAGGACACTACCTGGTCCCGAGTCCTTGGACTTCTTGTCACAGTCATCATCAGTTCCGGCACCCGATGCAAATGAGACAGCGGTGCTGGATGTGGCTCCATGGATACCGTCGCCTGCATTCTTGACTGTATAAGTCTGTGATGCCTTTGAGCACTTACCTGTGCCTGTTGCATCCTTTGTTGGATCGGGGGATGATGCCCCTGTACCTACACTTCCAGAACCTGCACCTGTTGCAGTACTTGTACCTGATGCTCCCTTCCCTGGTGTTGCTTCGGGTCCTGTATTAGGAACTGTTCGTGCCGGTGGTGATTGTGGTTGTACGGCAGATGTTGCTGGTCCTGATGTTCCTTCTTGTGATGGTGACGACGGCGTCGCCCCTTGCTGGTCTCCTCCTCCTGCTGCTGTTACCGGTTTTGTGGTTGCCGGCTTCGTCGCCGCCGGTTTCGCCGCGGCAGCGGCGGGGGGTCCACCCGGCGTGTCCGTGTCCTTGCTCTTCTTTTCTGCAAAAAGGAGAACGGAAGAAAGATGGATGAGAAAGATGATAAAAAAAAAAAGCGACACAAGTGGTACAGAAAGAAGGGGGCGCGAGACGGTGCGGTCAGGTAGCTTCAGCAAGCGTACGGTGTTACAGAGCGCGCACGTTGTTAGAAGAGGACAAAGACAGGAAGAAAGGGGGGCGCCCTCGGTGCACTGGGCGGTGCGGCAGCAATCGTACGGTGAGGTGAACTCGGTTGACTGCGTACTCGGTGAACTTGGGCTAGATGGTAGTAGTACACTTTTATTTTTCGACGTCATCTAATCCAGCGACCCGTGCCGTGGCCACTCATGTCCGTGCGCTCCGCAACCGCTACCACTGCCGTCGTCGCCGCGTGTGCTTTGTTGTGGCACCGTGTGCGTGTTGTAGCGGCATCCATCCGCAGTCTTATCGGTAGCGGCCGTATTAGTGCTTTCTCCCCATCGGTCCTTACCTGGCGATGCTGTTGATCGTGTGGTCGCCGCCGGTCTTGCTACGCCGGTCTTCGCTATCACTTCGTTTAATTCGGCTTCCACCTTTTGAACTGCTTCTTTTATGTGTTTCTCTATCTCGGCATCCTGTGGGTCGTCTTCGGCGTCCACAGAAGGGTACTTCGGTGCTCTCGCAGTTGACCCCCTCAATTTTCCCTCCTCCGCCTTCATTTGTATCTGCAGTGTTCCCAAAATTTGTCTTACCTGCTGCTTTACTTCATGTTTCGTCTTGTTGTCTTCTCTCTTTTCTTGTTCCTCCTCTCTCGGTCCGACCTGTAGCTTTACCTTTGCTCCCTTACAGTCATCGCCTATTTGTTCCTGTGCAAGTTGCTCCTGCATCTGTTTGTTCTCTTTTAACCATGTCTTCATCTTATTCCTCATGTCCCAAGTCTTCAATTCTATCTCCTTGTACTTGCCCTTCTTACAATGCTGGTCGCCCCAAGTTTCCTTCATTGCTTCGGATATGTGGTCGACGACGTACCATGCATAATATGTGCCCCAGTGACCCTCGCATCCGTGTTCCGTCAGTATGTCTTTGTATATATCCGCTATGGTGCATCTCATCAACCCCTTAATATCGTGACTATGTGTATCGTGGCCTATGTTTTTCTTTACTTCCTCAGTCCATCCGTTCGCAAAGTATATCGCTTGCGTCATGAGTCTGCATATAACTCGTTCTTTGCTCCGATCCATCCGCCTTGGTGACTGCCCGGGTTGCCCGTGCTCTAGTGGATGCTGCCAGTATGCATTGCTGCAGTTAGCAGCATGTTCCTCTGCATTTGGATCGTTCAATTGATTTATAAAAAGCCGCATTTGGTATTGCATATCGTCCCATAACTTACTCTGCGATTAACACAATGCACATATATATGTGGTCGCACAGTATTATTCACCAACCGTGGCAATCATCTAATTATATTTGTCCGTTCCTCGCTTTTACATGTAAATTTGCCGTATGCTGAACATATCCAGCACCCACTGTGCCGACATTCTGCTGCGCTGTAGTATGCTGCGCTTATACACACATATATACTGCCGTGTTCACACCGCCGCACGCGGCTTGTATGTATAGGAAATTACCTGAAAATCCTCAGTATGCTCCGTTAGTTTCCTATCCAACGCATACTGCGCCAATATTCTCGCTAAATCTCCCTCCATGGTTGTCTCAGCATAACAACATAGAAAAGATCATGCCTTGCAGAATGCGCGTACCGGTCTACATATGTTGCACAAATGCATTACGTACAACTTCTACGTATCCAACGTACTCCTGTATATCCAGTACACAATAACATTGTACGGACAGGATTTCAAACATACACGTTAAAAGGGGATATGTATGCCTTAATTCATATAACGTATACCTACATATGTACTCCTTATCCTTATATACAGAACGCGGAGTTGCACAACGAACCATAATAAATACGAGTAAAAAAAACAACATAAATAAGTTAGAAATAAATGACATAAAAAAAAAAAAAATAAACAATTGCACGACACACATCATACCTGTACAAATGCATAACCACATCCTGTACATAATTGAGAGCAGGCTCTCTGGTCTCTGTGGCACACATGAACAATGTCCCCAAGTAGAGTACCAAAACGGAAAAAAGAATAGAAAGGAAAAAATAGGACAAACAGTACAAGCAACGCGTCATGAATATACACCCCCGCCCCCCTTTCTATACCGGTGTCCACTAAACGCCTTGACACACACACTGTCTCTGTGTGCGTACACCTAAACCCCTGGTACACTAAAACCGCAGTAACAACATGAATTTCTTCTTCCGCCGTTGCTGCCGTCGTGTCGGGTCCTTGTTCGCCTGCCCACAAAATATGTGTGTTCCTGCTCTCCCCGCCCGCTGTGCGCCCGCTCTGTGCTCCCGCTCTCTGGATCCCTCACGCAAACCGTTTACTCCGCTATACTTCGTCGAACCGCGTTTGCTCGGAGAGACAATGTCGCCCTCCGTTCTTACACTCGGCTACTTCGTCGAATCCTGCTTACCAAGCCACGTTTGCTCGGACAGACAATCGCTCCTGCGTCTTACACTCGGTTACCTCGTCGACAATGTGGTTTACGCGGCCGCGTCTGCTCGGAGAGACAAGCCTCCTGCTGGCGTACACTCGGTTACGTCGTGGAACCGCGTTGGCTCGGAGAGACAATCCTCCTGCGGCGTACACTCGGGTGCGTCGTCGACAATGTGCTTTACCCGGCCGCGTTTGGTCGGCGACACAATCCTCCTGCTTTCGTACACTCGGACAATCCGTCGTCGAATCCGTCTTACACTAGGCTACTTCGGCGAATCGTGCGGACACTCGGCTACAATGCGGTTTACGCGGCCGCGTAGGTCGACGCCTTTGCGCTGAGAGACAAGCGCTCCGTATACGCGAAGGCGTATGCGCATTCTATATTAGTGCTACACTATACCCGTAGAATGCACGTGCTCAGCTGTTAATAATTAACGTCACATAAAGGAGAATACTACCCCGTCATAATATTCATTTAAATCTACATTTTATATGCATTTGACCTGTACCACCCTGTTCCTGTGGTCATGTTAAAAGAAGTGGTCTACGTAACAAGCACAGAACAAAGCACAAGTAAGCACAAGTAAGCAGAACAGAGCAGAAGAGAGGACAAACAAAAAAAAGAACGTATGGAATAATGTAAACCCGAAATATATTATGTATATAACATAATGAAGTAAAAGTGGTGTACGGTTAGCATGCGTTATGTTGCATGCATATGCAACGTCATCCTAATGTCACAGTTGCTGCAATAGTTCATCCACATATAACTCCGTCTCTTGCAAATTGCGTTCGACCTCGCACTGTTCTATGACTAATGCCAGGATCAGTATCCATATTGTAGCGGTTAACGGTTTTTTCATGTAAGGTTGCTTATGCAGTGGTTGGGGCCGTGGTACATGTCGCACTTTCAAAGCTGATCCGCCGTCCAGTGCTTCTTGTACTTGTAAACCTTTTTCTACAGTTGGCCCGTGTTCTGTTACAAATGTGGTCGGTTTTTCATCTACTGTGTGTATGTGACTCACTCCTTCCAACATTCGTATCTGTTCCGGCATGCCGTCGTGCTCTGTTACTACTCCGGTCTCCTCGATATTACTCCATAGGTGTTGAAACCACTCCTCCTCACCATGTATATTCAGAAGCTCATGTTGTTTTGCAACCCATTCTTTCCATGCATCCAGTTTGTTCCTTTCCATGGTTGCCACTTCACCGAAGGCACGCTGCACGTATACTCCGTGAGCCGCGTTTGCCACCATGTGCTCACGCAGATATTGTTTCCATTCCGCCTTTAATTGCAAAAACCACGGCTGCGTCGTGCACTGCCGCAGAATATGTTTGCGTTGTTCAATCCAGTTAATCCAATGGATGCAGTACGACGGCGCGTGCTCGGGGTTGGAATGAGCATTCTGTTGTGCAGCTAACTCGATATGTTCCATAGAACTCCATGGATCGGGGTCCTCGTCGTTACGTGGACATGCATCAGGTTCGTCGGAATAGGTGGGTGTATCCCGCGTGCGTGAATCGGCGTTTGTTGTTGAGTCCTGGGTTGCGAAACCGTCGTCTGGGGTGCAGACATCCGAGCTACTTGTACACGTGGTGTTGCCCGCCATAAACTGTTCAACGAGTAGTTGCAAATAGTCGTCTTTGACGTTTTCCCACTCGGTTGCTGCACATTCGTTCAGCACTTCTAAGTGTAGCTCGATGATCGTGCGCTTATGCACGCGTGGGGGGCGGCCTCTACCGGATGTGGACGCAGGTTGCGTAACCATGGTGTACCCGTAATCGGGTGGCGGCAGGTCGCCTCGTTGTAGATGTTGCAATATTTCTTCTTCGAGTGGCGGTGACGGCACGTCACGAACGATTCGATATGTTCGTCGTCGTTTGGCGAGGTGCGCAAAGTACTACACAAAAAAAAAAGAAAAAGAAGGACGATGATGTGAATGCATTTGGGTTGGCATTATCGTACAAAAGCTCCCTTTAGGAACACATTTCCCTATGGTAGATATGACGGATGAACATATACGGGGTCTCGTATATACTTACCTTCCAGAGGGAATAACCCAGAAGGGCGACGGTGACGGAAGTGAGAAAAAACAGGATGGGAGTAGTGGCGGTAAGCACCGTGCCGGTTAGGTCTGGGACAGCATAGTCACGTGGAGTCTCACCCGATGAACTGACGTGTCCATCTGCTGGAACCGGTGGTACGAATCCTCCTGTGGCACCTTCTATGTTGAGTGCAGGTGAAGCAAGGTCAACTTCGAACGGCTTAGTGCCCGCCTGGGTAGTATTCCCTGTGTCCTGATCATTCTGATTACTGGAGCCAGAGGTTAACTGACTACCACCACCTCCACCTCGTCCACCATCTCCTCCTCCGCCACCACCACTACTGGCTCCTACACCACCACTGCTACCGCCTCCAGCACCTCCCTTTGCTGCCCCACCAGAAATACCACCTACTGAATCCGGTTCGCCGCCGCTGCCGCCACTACTACCCGATTGATTTGGGTTCGGGTTCGGTTTTGGTTTGGGTGGATTGAGAGGAGGGGGGTCATCATTGCCCGCGCCATTACCGCCATCGACGACGGCATCGCCTGAACATTTGGTGAATGGGGAGACAGGGAAAGGGAAGGAAGAAGGATGTGATGAAACTGAACTTTATGCAGTGCGAGATTGGCCACGGTTGCCGCTTGCCCGCTGTCCGTCGCTGCATTGTTCGACCACACGGTGGACCACGGTCGGTCGGCTACACGGTGGACTTCGACGTGGGTGAGGACGGGGGTAGGGTGGTTACGGTGCCACCCCGGGAAAAGACTCTCTCTGTGCCACAACACAACACACACACACTGTGTGTCTGTCGACGTCTACGTGTACATCGACGTCTGTCGACGTCTACATCGCGCTGCCGACCGATCGCTCTGCTCATTCGACGTTTGGTTTCTCTCTGCTTCTCTCCGTGTTGTCTCGTCCGCTCTCCGCAAATTGTTCTTTTGTTGTTGTTTCGTGTTTTTTCTCTTTGTGTTTGTTGTCAATATTCACTCAGGACACTACCTGGTCCCGAGTCTTGGGGCGTCGTGTCACAGTCATCAGCGTTTTCCGAGCTGGATGCAATGGAAAGGGTGATGGTTGCGCGGGCTCCGTTGAGGCCGAATGCTGTGTTGCTATGTGTAAATACCGTGGTTTCTCTCGTGCACTTACCTGCTGTTTCCTCGTCTTTCCCCTTTTGTGTGCCCACAGAAGCATCCGCTGGTGGTGTGTCAGACCTTCCTCCGGGTCCTACGGCTGGTGCCTGTGCGTCCGATGGAGGTGTTGGTACTGGTATCTTCTCCTCCGGAATAACCTCCCGTGGTACCTCTGGTACCTTAACTGGGGGTGCTTCCTCTTTCTTAGGTTTCTTGTCCGCGGCTGCAAATGAAGAAAGAAGTAAAGGAAGAATGATGGATGAGAAAGATGATTAAAAAAAAAGGGACACAAGTGGTACAGAAAGAAGGGGGCCGTGACGGTTCGGTCACGTAGCGGCAGGGTACGGTCCGGCTGCATGGGTCGATGCAGTGGATCGATGCAATGGGTCGAGGTAAGACTCGGTGGACTGGGTCAGGCGGCCGCAAGCGCACGGCGACGTGAACTGCGTACTCGGTGAATTGGGTGACGCGGCAGCAAGAGTACGGTGAGGTGCACTGCGATGGACTGGGTGAGACAGCAGCAAGCGTATGGTGAGGTGAACGCGGTCGACTGGGTCGGGATGGATGATAGCAGTACAACTTTTATTTGTTGTCGCCGTCATCTCGTCCCGTGTCGTCCTGTGCTGCGTCCACGCACACACCTCGGCTCAACGAAGTGGTTTGCTGTTCTCCCCGCGTGTGCGTTGTTGTTGCGGCGCTCGTGCGTGTTGTTGCCAGACATGTTCGTGCTTTGTCCCATCTGTCCGTACCTGTCGGTGCCTGTGGTGTTTCCGTTCCTTCCGGTGCTACCGGTTGGGGCGGGGCTGGTTTGGTAACGGTAGTCGATCCATCCTCAGTCCCCGTGCCTGACCTGGTCGTTGGTGATGTTGTTGATGTGTGCACCGGACGGGTTGTGCCCCCTTTGGTTTGTGTATCTTTGGACTCGGCATCAGGTTCTCTTGTGGGCTGCCCGTTTACTTCTGTACCTTCTCCAGTAGACCACCCTTCCTTTACCCCTTTGCTTATTTTGTCCTGTAATTTGTTGGCATCTATTTGTCCGCGTCCTACTCCTCTTATTATTTCCTGTGCAACCGCCTTTGGCATATGCTGCTCTTCATGAATAAACTTCCGGATCGCGCCGTCATCCTGGTGCTTTAATAACTCTAATATACCTGTTCCTGTGTTACTCGTGCCCTCGGATGTATGCTTTCCCCTATGTTTCTCCTGTGAACATATCTTAATGCCTTGCGCAATTCTTCTGTCCCTCGCTTTACTCTTGTCCATCCAGTTCTGTACCTCCGCTGCAACTACTCTGCCCCCAATCCCTATGTGTTCCATGTTTATCCAATCACACTTATCACTTCCTCCACTTGCTCCATATAGCCCTACTATACCTGGCATTGCATCCCTGACGTAATCAATAACTCCATTCATCTGACATTTATCCTTAGACCATTTTAATAAATAAACACTTCCTATAATGCACCTGAGGTATTGTACTAACTCGTGCTCGTCCTTGTGTAAAACTGATCCTGCATCCTTCGTACTTTTAATTCCATCCATAAAAAAAAATACTTTCATTATTTCTACACACAAAACCCTCTGTACAGCACCTTGCAGTTTCCTGCCATTGATCTCTCCACGGTGTGAACACAATGTATGTATACTTGACTCTGGCCTTTTTTTATATATCATTAATTCGTTGAAAATATTTTCTATATCTTTCCAAATTAAATCCTATAGTGAACAAAAATTCACAACGTTCGTAATATATATGGCCCTGTTTGGCGCGCACCGTCCTGTGCCATAGGACATGTATTTAGAACAAACATCCCCGTACATATATTTTTCTTTTATTATAGGAAAAATAAGAATACTTCTGTATAGATACGCATAAAACTTATTTATCTATTTCTTCCCTGTACCATTCCTCGTGTACCTACAGTGACATTCTATGATGTCCTCAATTCCTTACTACCCGCATCTTACCGGAAAACTCCCGGGGCCTTCCTCTTTACTTGTGTCTATACTCCTCCTTTGTGCATATTGCTGTAAGAGGTCTACGAACTTCGCAGCCATTGTTTCCTATTCACGTATTAGCAGATACTGACCCCATGCAGAATACTATAACTTTCTTTACCTTCTAAGAGGAACATCGCGGTAGGACAATTCGCTCTGATGAAGTGTACTTATGTGTCAATATGAATAATACCACAAGATTGCTCCATAGGAATTGCACTCCATAAAAACCCTACATCCAGAATTGTTCGTTCTACATATCTTACACTTCCCTAGAAAAAAAATAAATACAAGAATAAAGAGCCCAAAAAAAAAGAAACAAATATATAGAAAACTCAAAAAAAGAAAAAGTGAAAGAAAGATTGGAAAAAATCGGAAAAGTACAACACACCGTCATGAATAGCCCGCCGCGCCCCTGTTTACACCGGTCTCCACTAAACGCCTTGACACACACACTGTCTCTGTGTGCGTGCACAACCAAAGCGCAGTAACAACATCAATGCTTCTTCCGTCGTTGCTGGCGTCGTTGCCGTCGTTGCTGCCGTCGTCCCTCCCGCGGCTACGTGGTCGAATCGTTTACTCGAACGCCGTAAGCGAACCGCTTCACTGGGCGACGTCGTCGACAATCCCGTTTACCCGGGCCGCGTTTGCTCGGAGAAACAATCTCTCCTGCTTCTTACACTCGAACAATCCGTCGTCGAATCCGTCTTACACTCGCCTACCTCCTCGGACAATACTTACCCGGCCACGTTTGCTCGGAAAGACAATCTCGTCCTTCTTACACGCGGCCGCGTGGGTGGACGCGTTTGCTCGCAGAGACAATCTCTCCTCCTTCTTACACTCGGCTACTTCGTCAAACCGCGTTTGCTCGGAGAGACAATCTCCTCCTTCTTACACTCAGCCACGTCCTCGAATCGTTTTTACACTCGACCGCTGTGGTCGAATCGCGTCACTCGGAGAGACAATCGCTCGTCCTTCTTACACTCGGCTACTTCGTCGAATCGCTTCACTCGGATCGACCGCGTGTGCGCGGACAGACAAGCACCTGATACTCGAAGGCGTATGCGCATGCTATAGGTGTTGTGCACTGTACCCTTAGAATGCACGTGCTCATCTTTTAATAAATAATTTCCCATAAAGGAGAATACTACCCCTTCATATTATTCATTTAAATGTACATTTTATATGCATTTGACCTGTACCACCCTGTTCCTATGGTCATGTTAAAAGAAGTTGACTACACAGAAAAAGAACAAAACAAGGCAAAAGTAAACAGAAGTAAGCAGAACAGAGCAGAAAAAAAAAGGAAGAAGGTATGGAATAGTACAAACAAGACATATACTATGTATATCACATAATGAAATAAAAGTGGTCTACGGTCAGCATGCGTTATGTCGCATGCATATGCCCCGTCATCCTAATTTGAACACGTTTGCAATAGAGCATCCACATATAACTCCTTCTCCTGCAAACGACATTCGAGCTCGCACTCTTCTATGATTAATGCCAGGAGCAGTATACATGTTTTAGCGGTTAACGGTTGTTGCATGTAAGATTGCGGATGCAGTTGCGTGCGTGGAACAGCCCTCACGCTTAATATATCTTCTGCTGCCGTGACTTTTTCCACTTCTAAGTCGTTTTCCACTATAGGTGCTTGGCCGTTTTGCGGTACTGTCTCGTCCTGTACATTATTCAACAAACGTTGAAACCACTCCTGCTCACCATATATATGCATAAGCGCATGGTGCTGTGCGACCCATTCTTTCCAAAACCGCAGTTTCGTCATGTCTGCGGACGGGATATGACCGTGCTCACAGTGTTCACTGTGCCCGTGCTCCACGTTTGCCACCATGTGTGCACGCAGGTGTTGTTTCCAATCCGCTGTCAATTGCAAAAACCACGGCTGCGTCGTGCACGCCCGCAGAATATGTTTGTTGCGGGCAATCCAGTTAATCCAAGTAGTGTGGTCGGGGGCCCGGTTTTAATTCCCCGGGTAAGGGGATGGAAGGAGAAAAGGAGTCTCTTCTTGTTCTAACTGTATGGATTCCATACAATTCCATGGATCGGGGTCATGAGGTCGACAAGGGTGCGTTGGTAACTGTATGTTTTCCATACAATTCCATCGGTCCTGTTCGTTAGGCGCAGCACGGTCCGTTGCTAACTGTATGGTTTCCATGCAACTCCATGGATCGGGTTCATCTTCGTTAGGTGGACAAGGGTCCGTTTCTAACTGTATGGTTTCCATACAACACCATGGATCGGGGTCATGTTCGTTAGGTGGACAAGGGTCCGTTGGTAACTGTATGTTTTCCATACAACTCCATGGATCGGGGTCCTTAGGTGGAGAAGTGTCCGTTGCTAACTGTATAGTTTCCATACAACTCCATGGATCGGGATTATCGTCGGTAGGTACACAAGGGCCCGTTTCTAACTGTATGGTTTCCATACACTTCCATGGATCGGGGTGCTCTTCATTCGGTGCACAAGGGTGCGTTGCTAACCGTATGTTTTCCATACAACGCCATGGATCGCAGTCATTCGGTGCACAAGGGTCCGTTTCTAACGGTATGGTTTCCATACAACTGCATTGGTCCTGTTCGTTAGGTGGACAAGGGTCCGTTCGTGCGATGTCAGTGGGTGGATCGACGGTGGAGGAAACATTGTTTCCTGGTAAACCGTCGTTTGGGATAGCATTATCCGGGGAACTACTATGTCCGTTGTTGCCCCCCATAAACTCTTCAACGAGTATCCCGTAAAACTCGTCTTTGACGTTTTCCCACTCGGCTTCTTCACATTCGTTGAGCACTTCTAGATGTAGCTCGATAATCGTGCGCTTATGCACGCGTGGGGCGCGTCGTCGTCGGTCGGCAAATTTATCGCGGCGTCGTTCCCTAACCATGGTGTACCCGTAATCGGGTGGCGGCAGTTCGCCGCGTTGTAGATGGTCCAATATGTCTTCGTCGAGTGGCGGTGACGGCACGTCACGAACGGTTCGATATGTTCGTCGTCGTTTGTGGCCGAGGTAGGCAAAGTACTAAACAGAAAAAGGGGGGTAAAGAGGAGGGTGAGGACGGTAGGATAACAGGAATGAACGCGGGTGTAGGAGTATATGGATTAGAACGATCATATATTGGAGCCGGTTGGGATGTGCTGCGGTATAAACATCCTGCACATGCGGCATGCCCTCATTGTCGTATATACTTACCTTCCAGAGGGAATAACCAAGAAGGGCGACGGTGACGGCGGAAAGGAAGAAGAGTAAGGGAGTAGTGGCGGTAAGGACAGTGTTCGTTAGGTCGGGGACAGCATAGTCACGTGGAGTCTCACCCGATGAACTGACTTCTCCATCTGCTGGAACCGGTGGTACGAATCCTCCTGTGGCACCTTCTATGTTGAGTGCAGGTGAGGGAAAGTTAAATTGAAACTGTCCACTGTCCTCCGAGGATGCTCCCCCTGAGGCTCCAGATGTTCCTGATGCTGATGCAGGCTTATCTGGGTTGTTTTTTCCTATGCCCCAAAGATTAGGGTCCGTATCCAACACGCTCCAGAAATCATTACCGTCATTCCATGTGCCTCCCGGTGGAGGGGGGTCATCATTGCCGCCATCAACGACGGCGTCGCCGGAGGCGGCATCGTTCGTGCCACTCGTGTTACCGTCCCCTGCTCTTCCTGTTGATGGTGTCCCTGCCTCAGGTGATGTTCTTGTTGTTTCTGATGATTTTCCTGTAGCACCTTCATTGGACGGTGCCCCCGGTGCTGCTTCTGTTTCTCGTGGTGGCGCAGGGACCGTTCCGGCAGTTCCTGAAAGAAGGTTTGGGGAAAGGACAATGATGAAATGCAAGGTTGTGTGAGGTGATTGCCCGGGCACACGGTTGTTGTGGTTCGTCGCTGGATGGTTGGCCACACCTTCGGCTACACGGTCGGCACCATGCTGCCACGGGGATGGAGCCAGGCGTCGGATGGCAGGAGACCGGCCGGGGCACACGAGCCGCACGCGGGTACGGGGATAGGGTGCCACCCCGGGGAAAAGACTCTCGCTCTCTGTCCCGCACAACACACAACACACACACACAGTGTGTGTGTCTGTCGACGTCGACGTCTCTACGTCGCTCTACCTTCCGCGGCGGTAACTCGACCTCCCGCGGCGGACCCATCGCTTGGCCGATCGCTCTGCCGCTTTCATTCTCATTCGACGTGTGGTTTCTCTCGCTCCGTGGTGTCTCTCCCGCTCTCTCCGGAAGCTGTTGTTTTTTTTTGTTTTTTTTTTGTCTCTCCCTAAGTACTCGTATATTGTATAGTTCACACTCTCCTGTATTGCCTACTACCATGTAAGGAGTAAACTTCTCCTCTGCCTTCCCTAACCTGAACAGTCGGACGAAGGAGTCTGCTGGATGAAGCTGACGGACACACTGGCTCCAGGGGTGGTGGAAGAAGTCTGCGTGACAGTACGAGTACAGTTAGTGTTATCCTTACCTGGACTGTCCTTGGATGCCTGCTTTGGTGCTGGTGTTGTTGCCGCGTTGCTTGTAATCCCTGTACCTGAAGATGCTGGTGATGGTGCTCCCTGGGGAGAGATCGATGCTGGTGGCGATGATGGTACTGGAGATGCCGGTGCCTGTGGTACTGATGGTAATTCTGGGGATGCCGGTGCTTGTGGTTGCGATCCTCGTGCCGATGTTGTGGATCCTGGTGGTGTCCCTACCGAGTCCTCCGCTGCAGCAGTAAAGCAAGGAAGATACACGACAAAATGATACATAAAGCACACAAGTGGTACAGAAAGAAGGCGCCGGAACGGTGCGGTCAGGTAGCGGCAGCAAGCGCACGGTGTTAGAGAGCGCGCACGTTGTTAGAACAGGACAACGATAGGCAGAAAGGGGGGCGCACTCGGTGGACTGCGTACGCGGTGCACTGTGTTAGGCGGCAGCACGCGTACGGTGAGGTGAACTCGGTCGACTGGGTCGGGATGGATGATAGCAGTGCAACTTTTATTCGTGGTCGCCGTCATCTCGTCCGTTATCTCGTCCGCGACCGCTGCCGTGGCCACTCATCTCCGTCCGCGCCGCTACCGCTGACGTCGTCGCTGCTGTGCGGTTGCGCACCGCTATTGCTGCCCCGTGCATTGTTGCCCCGCGTGTGCGTTGTTGCTGGTGGCGGCATGCCCATGCGCAATCGTATCGGTGGCGGCCGTATAATACGTGTTGGGCCGTATCGGGTCGCGCATTCGTGCTTTCTCCCCTCGGTCCTTACCTGGCGATGCCTTTGATGGTGTGCCGGTGGCCGGTTGGGACGATTCTGTGCCGCCCTCGTTGCCGGATGGTGCTGGTGTGCCGCTGTCGACAGAGTTCGATACTGTGGCCTTACTGTCGGCACCCTGCGGATCGCTACTGGAGACGTGTTGGATAGACTCGATGCATGCGTCATGGTCCTTCGCGCATTGCACTGCGGCTTTCTTTACCTCCTCAACTATTGTCTTCAGCCCTTGGCCTAACTCACGTATAGCTGCCTGCTCCTCGTTCTTCAGTTCTATCGGTCCACCCATGGCATTTTCATCCTGCGTTTTCCCCACAAGTTCGTGTATACTCTTCTTACATATGCTTTGTATTCCTTTCCCTGCAAATTTTTTAGTCAAACTCGGTTTGTTCTTTAACCAGTCCTTAATCTTCTCTCCCATGTCGAAGTCCTGTATTTTTATGTTTTGAAACAGTCCCTGGCGGCACGTCCCCTTTGTGAGTAATCCAGGTTGACCTGACTCCAGCTCTTTCATTGTTTCCCATGCATAATATACACCCATTTTACTTCTGCATGTAGATTCGTTCAATATGTACATGAATATATTTACTATTGCGCACCTTATATGTTCCTTCAACGCTGCATTATTAGGGTCGGTAGTTTGCGAACCGGCGGACTTCGAACTCCACGCATTCATGAAAAATAATGCTCGTGACATGAGTGTGCACATAATTCTATCGCCCACGTTAGCTACGAACTTTGTTTCTCCATGGTTCTCTTTCGTATAACCCTTGTTTAAACAATTAGATGCATAGATGTCTAGTTCCTCATTTTCCATATATCCCACAAATTCGTCGAGTAGCGCTGTTACATCCTTCCCTAGGAATTCCTGTATTATGCATAAGGAACATATATGTGTGTGCATAAGTGGCCACATTATCTGTCTCTTGCATGTTCATTCACATGTGCCCACACTGTTGCACGTACTGCACGTACTGTATCTTCCATATCGATTCATATGTGCCCACACATGTGTACGTGCTGCACGTACGATATCTTCCCATTGTGTAAGTAATATAGAATTAGTGCACGGTCGCATGCGTACAATTATATATACAGGCAAGTATGCATACTATCATATATAGAGGCTGTTATAAGTACACGACGCCCCGCGATGTTAATCTTAGTAAATTACCTGATACTGCTGCGGTTTATCCACTAGTCCCCTATCCTTCACATACTGTGCCAATATATGACCTAACACTAACGCCATTGTGCCCTAAGATCATAACGTGGACATCTGAATTACCCTTGAATCACTAGAGCGTGGTACATATCTTGCACAACAGCATCGCTCAGAAGTTGTTGTGCACGCTATAAATTCCTGCGTCTGCTGTACGCATTAACATCCGCCTAAATATAACTGTACCGTCCACATGAAAAGAAGGGGTATGTATCCGTTTATATAACCTATGCACACATATACAATCCTTATAGTTACACTAGGAATTGGGAGCATCGCAAGCGCAAATAATGAATAAGCTGTAAAGGAAGAAGATAAATAAGACAGAACTAAAACAACGTAAAACAGAAAAAAAAAAAAAAAAAAACGAAATCAAAAAAGGGAAAAAAGAAAAAAAAAGTGACCCCAAAACAACATATTCCTACAAATTCATAACAACATACTCTGCACAATATAGAGAAGACGCGCTCGCTTCCACAGATGAACAATCTCCCCAAGTCAAGTACCAAAAAGGACAAAAGAATAGAAAGGAAAAAATAGGAAAAGTACACTACACTACCGTACACACACAAAATGCGTCATGAATACGTCTTTGTACACCGGTGTAGGCTAAACCGCAGTAATAACAACAGCATCAATGCGGTTGCCGTCGTTGCCGCCGTCGCTTCTTCCGTGTTTGCCGCCGTGGTCGCCGTCGTTCCCGCAGCTACTTCGTCGAATCGTTTACTCGAACGCCGTAATCGAACCGCTTCACTCGGCTACTTCGTCGAATCCGTCTTACACTCGGACAATCCGTGTACCCGGCCACGTTTGCTCGGAGACAATGGTCCTGCTTGGTGCACGCGGCCGCTTTGGTCGACGCGTTTGCTCGGAGAGACAATCTCTCCTCCTTCGTACACTCGGACAATCCGTCCCGCGCACCGCGTCACTCGGATAAGGGCGTTTACACGGCCGCGTTGGTCGACGCGTTTGCTCGGAGAGACAATCCTGCTCCTTTCTGGCACTCGGCCGCTGTGGTCGACGCGTTTGCTCGGAGAGACAATCTCTCCCTCCGTCTTACACTCGGCTACGTCGTCGAATCGTTCTGACACTCAGCCGCGTTGCTCGGCGGCGCTTGCTCCGTGAGACAATCCTCCGCCTTCGTGCACGCGGGCGCTTTGGTCGACGCGTTAGCTCGGAGAGACAATGTCTCCTCCTTTCTTACACTCGGACAATCCTTCGTCGACACCCGTTACGCGGACAATTCGTTTACCCGGCCGCGTTGCTCTGCGCGCTTGCTCGGAGAGACAATCTCTCCTCCGTACTTACACGCGGCTACTTCGTCGAAACGTTCGTACACGCGGACCGATCCGTTTACCCGGCCGCGTTTGCTCGGAGACAATGGTCCTCCGTGTTTCACGTGGCCGCGTTGGTCGACGCGTGTGCTCGGAGAGACAATCGTCGGCCTTTCGTACACTCGGCTACGTCGTCGAATCCTGCGTACTCGGACCGGCCGCGTGGGTCGTCGCGTTTGCTCGGAGAGACAATCTCTCCTCCGTCTGGCACTCAGCTACTTCGTCGAATATTTCTTACACGCGGCTACTTCGTCGAATCGGTCTTGCACGCGGCCGCTGTTGTCGACGCGTTTGCTCGGAGAGACAATCTGCTCCTTTCTTACACTGGGCCGCGGTGGTCGAATCCTGGTTAAACGCGGCTACAATGCGGTTTACCCGGCCACGTTTGCTCGGACAGACAATCTCTCCGTCCTTTCTTACACTCGGCTACTTGGTCGAATCGTGGTTACACTGGGCTACATCGACGACAATGCTGTACGCGGCCGCGTGTACTCGGACAGACAATCTCTCCTTAGACTCGAATGCGTAGTCGCGTGCTATATGTGTGCTGCACTATACCCTTAGAATGCACGTGCGCATCTGTTAATAATTAACTTCACATAAAGGAGAATACTACCCCTTCATATTATTCAGTTGAATCTACATTTTATATGCATTTAACCGGTACCACCCTGTCCCCATAGTTATATTAATAGAAGTGGACTACACAGAAAAAGAACAAAACAAAAGCAACAGTAAGCAGAAGAGAGCAGAAAAAAAAAAGAACGTATGGAATAGTGCAAACAAGAAATATGTTGTGTATATCACATAATGAAGTAAAAGTGGTGTACGGTTAGCATGCGTTATGTCGCATGCATGGGCCCCGTCATCCTAATGTCACAGTTGCTGCAATAGTTCATCCACATATAACTCGTTCTCCTTCAGACGGCTTTCAAGCTCGCACTGTTCTATGACTAATGCCAGGATCAGTATCCATGTTTGAGCGGTTAACGGTTTTTGCATGTAGCTTTGCCGATGCAGTTGCGAGCGCGGTGCATCTGTCACTCTGAGCACGTGTTCTGCTGCCATTACGTTTTCCACTTCTAAGTGTTTTGCTACTCGTTGTACTTCGCGTTTGTGCGAGGCTGTCTCCTCCTCTACATTATTCAACAAATGTTGGCACAACTCCTCCGTATACATACGCATTTGCCGATGTTGTTGCGCTACCCATTCTTTCCACAATCGCAGTGTGTTCATGGGCGGGGTGGCTGCTTCACCGAATTCACGCTGCCCGTTGTCTTCGTCGGCCGCCATGTGCTCGCGCACGTATTGTTTCCATTCCAATTTGAGGGCATTAAACCACGGCTGCGTCGTGCACTCCTGCAATAGATGCTTGTTGCGCTCAATCCAGTTAATCCATTGGGTGCAGTACGACGGCGCGGCCCCGTGGTCGGAAGGACGACTGTTTTGTGTTTCGACGTGTATGGTTTCCATACAACGCCATGGATCGGGGTCGTTAGATGCAGAAGTGTCCGTTGCGAACTCTATGGTTTCCATACAACTCCATGGATCGGGGTTATCTTCGTTAGGTCGACATGGATCTATGCCGTCGGAGTCAATGGGTGGATCCACGGTGGATGAACCATTTATCCCTGATAAACCCTGGTTTGTGCTAGGAGCATCCAAGATGCTACTGCACATAATCGGGTCCCGCATCAAGTCCTGCGCAAACTCCTGCACGAGTATGTGCAAATAGTCGTCTTTGACGCTTTTCCATTCGGTCGCTTCACATTCGTGGAGCACTTGTAGATGTAGCTCGATGATCGTGCGGCGATTCACGCGTGCTTGCCGTCGTCGTGCGCCGGGCAATCTGCCGGGCTGCCTATCCCGAACCATGGTGTACCAGTAAGCGGGTGGCGGTAGGTCGCCGCGTTGTAGATGCTCTAGAATTTCTGCGTCGAGTGGCGGTGACGGCACGTCACGAACGGTTCGATATGTTCGTCGTCGTTTGGCGAGGTGCGCAAAATACTAAGCAGAAAAAGGGGGTAAAGAGCAGGGTGAGAACGGTAGCATAAAAGGAATGAACGCGGGTGTAGGGGCATATTGGTGCGAACGATCATATATTGGAGCCGGTAGGGAGTTTCTGAGGTATAAACATCCTGCACATGCGGGATTCCGTGGTTGCCGTATATACTTACCTTCCAAAGGGAATAACCAAGAAGGGCCACGATGACGGAAGCGAGAAAAAAAAGGGCGGGAGTAGTGGCGGTAAGGACCGTGTCGGTTAGGTCAGGGAAGAAGGGGCCATCGTGTTCCACATTGTGCGGAGATTGCCCCTTTGGACCTGGTGTGGGACCTGGTCCAAAGTGTCCCCCTGCACCGATTACATTTATGGCAGGGTCCAGTTCCAAGGCAGTATTCATCCCCGTGGTGGATGATGGATCCTGCTTAGAGGATACGGGAACCTGAGTGTCAGTTACAGAAGTACGAGGAGCAGCATCCTGTTTGTCTGTAGCAGCAGCAGGGGAGGAGGAGCCGGACAACTTAGGGCATGTGTTGTCAGCAGTATCGAATAAACCAAAGCCACAGTAATCTGCCCTGGGGTTTCCGAGTATTCCAGTAGTATCTCCTTGATCAGGATTTGTGGCTGCGGTGCCGGGTTTGGGTGGATTGAGAGGAGGGGGGTCATCGTTGCCGTCACCGACCACGGCATCCTTCTGGTCAGGCGTTCTACCGTCCCCTCGTGTTCCTTTTGATATTGTTTCTGTTCCTGTTGTTGTGGTTGTTGTGGTTGTTGTTGGTTCTGCTGGTGATGCTACTGGCTCCTTCCCCGATGTTGTTTCCTTGGAGTCTGTGCTCTGTGTTTTTTCCGAGGAATCACTACCTGTGCGATCAAAGGAAGGGAAGGAGCATATGATGAAAATTAAGTTATGATTCGGATGGTTGGCCACGGTGCGCACGGTGGTTGGCTGGTGCCACTCCGGGAAAAGACTCTCTCTCTGTCTCACACAACACAAACAACACACACACAGTGTGTGTGTGTGTGTGTGTCTGTCTGTCGACGTCTACGTCTCTCTACCGGACGCGGTTGTCTCGGTCTGCCGCGGCCGACCCATCCCTCTGCCGCAATCTTTCTCATTCGACGTTTGGTTTCTCTGTGCGTGGGTTCTCTCTCCGTGGTGTCTCTGGCGCTGTCGCCGGAAATGTTGTTTCTGTTTTTTTGTGTTTTTTTGTTGTGGTTTATGCTTCCTAATATTCCACTCGCGGGATGCCTCGCACATAAAGTGCCCCTGTAGGGAGTAATCCCTAGTACAGTGTAATTGCAGAGGATACACCGGCGGGAGGATCATTATTCTTATACTGCTCTGTACCTGGCTCAGGGACAGGAGAATTATAATTTTTGTATCTGCTCTCAAGCTCCTCAATATCTTCAGGGGTAGGAGTCTGGTAGGAGGATGTATTGCCAGTGACTACCTCTATTTGGCGCGTTGCCCCTATTGCAATAACGTTGACGGGTTCATCATCATCATGTGAACCGGTACTATTCGTACTGGTCCGATCTTCCTTACCTGAAGTTTCAGTGCTCGGTTTAGGACTGACACCCGGTGTAGTTGCTGTGTTGCCGGATGTTTGTTCTGTCGATTGATCTGGTCCCTTTGTTCCTGCCGTGTTGGCCTCTACAGGTGCCTGTGGTGGTGGTGCCGCAGGTGGGGGTTGTGATTCGGGTGCCGGTGCGGCATCACCGGACCTGGCCACTCCATCTGCCACATACCCTTTCGTCGGTGCTGTCTTCTCAGGAACAACGTCCTTTGGAACTTCTGGTACCTGAGCTGGTGGAGCTTCTGGTGTCGTCGTTACTACCTGCCCGTTACTGCTGTCTTCTTTCTTTTTGTCCTGGTCCGTCCCCGCTACAAAAAGGAGAAATATGGTAGAAACATGATAACAACAAAGGACACAAGTGGTACAGAAAGAAGGGGCCGGGACGGTGTGGTGTGGTTCGATCAGGTAGCGGCCGGGTAGGTCGGCTGCATGCGTCGATGCAGTGGGTCGATGCAGTGGATCGAGATGGACTGCACTAGTTGAACTCGGTGCACTGGGTCAGGCGGCAGCAAGCGCACGGTGAGGTGAACTCGGTCAGGCGGCCGCAAGCGTACGCGGTGAACTTGGGCTAGATGGTAGCAGTACACTTTTATTTGTTGTTGCCGTTATCTCGTCTCCGGTGCCTCATCCTGTGCTTCGCTACCGCTACCGGTGCCGTCGCCGCCGCCGCTGTGGCCGCTGTGCTCAACGTCAACGAAGTCGTTTGCTGTGCTGTTGCGGCGCTCGTGCGTGGTGCTGTTGTTGTGATGGCGGCATCCATGCGTGCGCAGTCGTACGGATCGTAACGTTAGCGGCCGTATCGGGTCGCGTATTCGTGCTTTGTCCCCATCGGTCCTTACCTGTCGGTGCCCCTGGCGGTGTTGGCGGCTGCCTCGGGTCGGCTCGGTGGACTGCGTACTCGGTGAACTGGGGGTAGATGGCAGCAGTACAATTTTATTTGTCGCCGTCATCTCGCGGCCGCGGCATCCGGCGACCCGCTGCAGCCCCACGCACCACTGTGACACCACTGTGACGCCACGCATTCGTCCTGGCCGTCGTCGTGGCCGCCGCACGCACAGACCTCGTCTACACTTCGTCGTTGCCGCTACCGCTACGGTCGTGGGCGCACATCTGGGCTCAACGGAGAGAAGCACTGTTACGCCGCGTGTGCGTCTTGTAGCCGGTGCGTGTTGTTGTGGCGGCATGCGCGGTGGGCCGTGTGCGTAGTATTCGTAGCGGCCGTATATTCGTATGCGGCCATAGTCGGTATCGGCCGTATGTTCGTAGTGTTACAAATCGTATTCTTACGTGTCGTGTCGGTGCCGTCCGTGTTCGCGTTCTTCTGCACTTCCTGAAACGCCTCCTTTGCTTTCTGCAGTATTTGGTCTTTGGCGTCCTTCACCTTCTCAATTATCTTTTTCACTTCTCCCTCCATGTCCTTCTCTGCTGTCTCTAACGTCGTGTTCCCTGCGGCGCTCAAACGGGCTTTGATACTGGTCCAGTCTCTGTCCCCGCCCTTAATAGGGTTGTGCTCGGGGTCCAGCTGCTTAATGTAATGTGTCCATTGTGTGGTACATGGCATGGCCTCTTCCATTCTTTTTATTTCTTCATTTATGTGTGCGTGCTCCATGAGCCACTCTACTACTTTCAAATTTATCGCGTTTGCCCACCTTTGATACTCGCCGTACCCACATGCTGTGCACCTGCCGTCGATAACAGGACCCGTGAGGTCTCCAAATCCACCTGTTGTCGCGCTGTTCATTTTCTGGAATGCTATGCGAGAATACTCTACACCCCTCTTAAATCCGCGTTGCCGTGGACAATACTTTGCCTTCAGTAGATGTCCAAATATATTTGCTACTTCACACCTGAACATATTCCGTTCTTCCTGCGTGATTTGGACCCCGTCCGTGTTAGCGCTCCCAGTAGTTCCCCACCCATTTGCGAAGACCCATGCAACACTCATAACTCTGCACCTAACGACATCTGCTACCGTTTGCCCGCTATGATGGTGTTTTCCCTTTCCGAAATCATCCCAACCACTATTATAACAGTTTGCACCATATGCTTCATTGAGTTCGTTTTGTTGCTCCATATGTTCCGTAAATTCCTGCAACACTTGCTTCCACTTGTTCCATTGAGCATCCTACGTTTTACACATTAACATACAAAAGTCCTCATGAGCACGTGTTAACTATATTATTCGGCGTTAATGCATGTACACGCGCACATGTATGTGCAATTGACCTTATGAACAATTTCGTGTGCTTTTCATTCTTTTGTCCCGCTCATCCGTGCTGGGTCACTCACGTAACTTACATCACGTGGAGGCACCACGTACACCGCGTGACGCCCTTGCTGCACTATTCTTTCTCCTTCACACTCTGTCTCCTCGGTGTTCGCCATCTTCCCGTTCTCGTGTTGACCTCCTACGGCAGCACCCTGACCAGGACCCCTACCAGCACCAGATGCTGCCTTGCGCTTGGACCGCGTGGTCGTGCTCCCCGTCGCCGCGTCCGTCTGCGCCACCGGTTTCGCCGCTACTGGTGTGGCAGGTACTTTGCCGTCCTTGCCGTCGCTGCCGTCGCCCTCAACGCCGTCTCCCCGTCAACGCCGTCTCTCCGTCAACGCTTCTGTCCGTCAACCCCGTCTGCGTCAACGCCTCTCCGTCAACGCCTCTGCCGACACCCGTCACCCCGTCTCCGTCAACGCTTCTCCGTCAACCCCGTCTCCCGTCAACGCTTCTCCGTCAACGCTTCTCTCCGTCAACGCTCTTCTCCGTCACCCCGTCTCCGTCACGCTGTGTCCGTCACACGGTCTCCGTCAACGCCTCTTCCGTCAACGCCTCTTCCGTCAACGCCTGTCCGTGAACCAAGTCTCCGTCTACGCCTCTCCGTCAACGCCTCGCCGTCAAGGCCTCTCCCGTCAACGCTTCTCCGTCAAGGCCTCTCTCGTCAACGCTTCTCCGTCAACGCCTCTTCCGTCAACGCCTCTCCGTCACCCAGTCTCCATCACCCCGTTCTGCGTCAACGCTTATCCGTCAACGCTGCTCCCGGTCACGCCCCTCCGTCAACCGCGTCTCCGGTCAACGCCTCTCCGTCAACGCTTGTGACGTCAAGGCCTCTGCGTCAACGCTCTCTCCGTCAACGCTCTCTCCGTCAACGCTTCTCTGTCACGCGGCTGCGTGCTCGGACAATCCGTTTACCCGGCCGCGTTGGTCGAACCGCGTGTGCGCGCAAGAGCCGTGCTTACTGGGGCGCGTTGCTCGACGCGTTTGCTCGGAGACAATGCTGCTCCGTCGTGCACGCGGCCGCTTTGGTCGACGCGTGTGCGCGGAGAGACAATGTCTCCCTCCGTTCTTACACTCGGCTACGTCGTCGAATACTTGTTACACTCGGCCGCATTACGCGGCTACGATGCGGTTTACACGGCCACGTTTGCTCGGAGAGACAAGCTCGCCTTATACTCGAAGGCGTATGCGCATGCTATAGGTGTTGTGCACTGTACCCTTAGAATGCACGTGCTCATCTTTTAATAAATAATTTCCCATAAAGGAGAATACTACCCGTTCATATTATTCATGTAAATCTGCATTTTAAATGCATTTGACGTGTACCACCCTGTTCCTATGGTCATGTTAAAAGAAGTTGACTACACAGAAAAAGAACAAAACAAGGCAAAAGTAAACAGAAGTAAGCAGAACGGAGCAGA